GGGGTTTTGGTGGGGATAGGAGGGGTATACATGGGGAATGAATCTTTAAAGATTTTTATTATTTATTCTACTGACCCAAATTATCCAAAAATTTGGTGGCATACACCTAATGCAAGGTGGAAGCCGAATGATTTTTTTATTTTTTTTTATTTTTTTGCGCTAGGTCGGACATGCCCTATCCGGTCCGACGTCCGACCAGAGGTCCGGTCGGACATCCCGGACGGTCAGGGGGGTCCCGGACGTCCGGCCCGGTAACCTAGAAATTATCATTCCAATGTTCGTTTAATTTAAAAATTTTCAGTTTTTTTTTATAAGTTACCGTCTAAATATAAGTTTTCCCTTCCAACTACATGTATTTGTTCAAGATGGAATGAAAGTTTGAACGAGTTTATGAAATATTTTAATTAAATTTTCATTCCACTACAACAAATATATTCTAATCTTAGATTGAATTAACTTATTTATGATTGAAAATCCTTACTTAAAATGACAATCCAATTAAAATACTTCATGAACTCATCCAGACTTTTATTCCATCTTTAGCATGCAGTCAAAATACGAATGGATACCCTATTCTTGGAATGAAAGTTTGCAAGTAAGATGAAAAGTTTTAAACTTTGAATGATATTTTTTAAGATGAAATAAAAATTTAAAATTTAGATTGTAATTTTACTATAGAATGATTATTTAATTCTGAAAATTTTTTCCATTGTGATTGGTTGATTGGTTGATTGACTGATTGATTGATTGATTGATTGATTGATTGATTGATTGATTGATTGATTGATTGAAAGAAAGAACAAGACGGAGACCAGGAAAACCAATCGATTGATTCAGTTAAAAAAAAATAAAAACGGAGGTGAGGGAAGTCAGTCACTAGCCCATAGTAGTCCTCTCGTGCTGCTCCTTCTTTTCCTCCTCTTCCTCCTCCTCCATTGTCTCTTTCTTCTCCTCCCCCTCCTCCTCCTCCTCCTCCTCCTCCTGTTCCTCCATGGCTCCTCCGTTTCCTCCTCCTTTACCTCCTCGTTTTCCTCCTCCGTTTCGTCCTCCATTACCTCCTCTTTTTCCTCCTCCTTTTCCTCCGCCTCCCCCTCCTTTTCTTCCTCTTCCTCCTCCTCCTCCTGCTCCTCCTCCCCCTCCTCTTCTTCCACCTCCTGCTCGTCTTCCTCCTCCTCCATCACCTCCTCCTCCTCCTCGTCGGCCTCCTCTATCGCCTCTTCCTTTCTCCTCTTCCTCCATCTCGGATTCGTCCTCGTCATCTTTATACCGACGAGCGAAAAACAACACCTCATCTTTTGGGGGTAACGGCGGGAGTAACTATGACTTTCTGAACTTTGAAGGAAGTCAAACGCCTCGTCATCTAATTATTCATGCGCCTGAATCGTTTAACGAGATTCCTTTTTTTTTTTCAATCAATCAATCAATCAAGCAAGCAAGCAAGCAAGCAAGCAAGCAATCAAGCAATCAATCAATCAATTAATCAATCATTCAAGATCCGTCGATTTCGACGAATTCGATGGATCTTTATTCAATCAGGATCCGTCGAAATCGACAGATCTTGAATGAATATTTGATTAATTGATTGATTGATTGATTGATTTAAAAAAAAAAAAAAAAAGGAGGAGGAAAAACAGGAGCAGGATGAAGAAGAGGAGGAGGAGGAAGAAGAAGAGGAGGAGGAGAAGGAAGACGAGGAGGAAGAGGAGGAGGACGACGACGAAGAGGAGGAGGAGAAAGGAGGGACGAAGAGGAGGACGAGGAGGTGGAAGATGAGGAGGAGGAAGAGGAGGGGCGGATGAGGAAGAGGAGGAGGAGGAGGAGGAGGAGGAAGAGGAG